ATTACAGGCGGACCACGCCCTCTAATGGTTATGGGGCTACACGCGAGGGTAAACTGAGGGCACGTGAGGGGCAGCACTGCTGAGGGCACGCGAGGGGCGACACTACTGAGGGCACGTGAGAGTACATGCGAGGAGCGGCACTACTCAGAGCACGTGAGGGGTGACACTACTGAGGGCACGTGAGGGGTGACACTACTGAGGGCACGTGAGGGGCGGCACTACTCAGAGCACGTGAGGGGGCGACACTACTGAGGGCACGTGAGGGGCGGCACTACTCAGAGCACGTGAGGGGGCGACACTACTGAGGGCACGTGAGGGGTGACACTACTGAGGGCACGTGAGGGGCGACACTACTGAGGGCACGTGAGGGACGACACTACTGAGGGCACGTGAGGGGCGACACTACTGAGGACACGTGAGGGGCGACACTACTGAGGGCACGTGAAGGAAATTTTATTTGCTGTAAAAATCTTTAAGAATGAAAATAAAAATATTCAATTAAAATCGCACTGAAATGTCTAAGCTACTACAACAAAGCCGACTAACGGGCAAACTAAAATATTTTCGGCTGATTTGCGTTATGGTAGTTCGATAAAATGAATGTAAATAAACAAAAAAAAATACAAATTAACCAACAAATTAGAAGCCAGACTTTTGCACATTAATCAATGTTTGATAGGGAAAATAACTCTATGCAAATAATTTTTGCATTATTAAACGTCCCATTTTGAATAGCGTTCAAAAACAGCGATCTACGCGGATCAAAACTTTTCAGTTTTGCTGCAGAACGAAATTTGGACCCAGCCACAAGGTGCCGAGGTAGAGGCGCTGGACCTGATAGCAGTCAATGAATAGTAAACGCGTTGAGCAGTGATTCAAGAACCATGTAACTGGCGCGTAGCAAAGTGGTTCAAGAACCATGTAACTGGCGCGTAGTAAAGTGATTCAAGAACCATGTAACTGGCGCGTAGTAAAGTGGTTCAAGAACCATGTAACTGGCGCGTAGTAAAGTGGATCAAGAACTATGTAACTGGCGCGTAGTAAAGTGGTTCAAGAACCATGTAACTGGCTCAATAAGTCGCTAACCGACTGGTTCTTAAAATGAACACCAGTAAATTGGTTCTTGACCTGAATAGTAGGAGATATTTTTTCAATAACCAGTAGACTGTTTCCTAAGTAAGAACTTGTGAAATGGTTCGTTCTTACGAACCAGTAAACTGGTTCTTGAACTGACTAGTACAGTAGATATTTTTTAATAACCAGTAGACCGTTTATTTTTTTAGAACCTGCGAAATGGTTCCTTCTTACGAACCAGTAAACTGGTACTTTAACTAGAGGTACGGTTTCCATTACAGGGGAGTAATGCGGACGGTAACGATTTAGTCTAGAACATATATGCACATAAATACTGTTACCTGTTAGAGGAGTGGCATGTTATACAAGGCATGCATGCAAATTGGTCAATGTAATTGAATACGTTGGAAACGTCTGTAAAACATTGCGGTAGCCGGTAGAGATAGAACGATACAACGATAGAGCGTACAGTTGTAGAGGTAGAGCGTACAGTTGTGGAAGTAGAGCATACAACGGTAGAGGTAGAGCGCACTGAGACTCACCACGAAGAGCTACGACGTCCAACTGACGGTTAGTGCGGGCGCACCGAACAGATTCGACTTTCATGCGTGACGAATACCTCAACAGAGATAGCTCTACCCAACAGCAGATCGTAATCGCCAAAGAAATCGTTCCACCCAACAGCAGATCGTAATTACAGAACAGAGATCGTTCCACCCAACAGCAGATCGTAATACCCGAACAGAGATAGCTCCACCCAACAGCAGATCGTAATTACAGAACAGAGATCGTTTTGGAGCAGATCATTTTGAAGTGTAGGAAGGACGGGAGGGTTGGCTCAAAGCGCGAACTAATCTCACCGCAACTTCCGGCTTAGCTTTAAACCAAAGCCAAAGCAACCGAAATTTCAAAAAATATGGGAAGCCAAACCACACGTTGACATCGACGCCGGCATGCAAAGCATCTGGATAACTTTATGTAATCGTTAACGTCCAAGATCAATTAGAGTGAAATAACCACCTGACTAGCCAGATTTATTATCGAAATGAGCCTCCAATTATCAGAATCATGCCTGAACTCGGTGCACACTCAGAAAAATTAACGAGTATCATTGTCAAAATAGTCACCCACTTCCCGCATGTAGCACTGATGAGTATTTTTGATGGGTTAAATTCAGCCAGAATGACCCACAACGCAAAAAGTCCTACTTGTCTATTAGGACAGAGTTTCATTTATCAGAGCGTATACCTACTGTATAAACAAGTCGTCAATGGTAAGGAGGAGCCGGCCTGGAATATTTAGTTGAGGTTAGGTTGTCAGGGAAGATTATCAGCGCCAGGTCTTATAAGCGTTGCCAAGATGCTAGTGGGTTGGCTAGGTCTTTGGAGAACTTACAATCAGAAAAATGAGTCAAACTTTGACCAAACAACAACACAATTTTTGCTCTGTGCGAGTCATCATGAGCCAGTTTGGCCCAGCAAAATGGTATATCACTGCTACGTGCAGTGATATAGGTTAAGCATTTGGAGAATATCACCTATTCATTTTTTCTAAGTGCGTAGGCCTAAGTAAAGTTATTGCATAAGTAAGTAAATGTTAGTCCCATTAATCCACCATTTTCTAAAAAAAACTTAGCTCTGCCCTAAGAAGCAACCATGTCATGACTGAAAAACAAATATTTATTGAAGCCACTGTAATTTCAGGTCCCATGGATAAATTAAAAGGCCATTAATAATATCAATATGATAGACGAGACATAAATATCCTCTCCTAACCATTGACCTTGGTATGGTTTATTCATCCATTTATATGGTATGATATGGTTTATTCAATTTTACTACAAATAACATAATACGCGTTTAAAAATTACTTTTGAAAAACAACACTTCTAAAGAATCCACTGTCCCTGATGTTACACATGTACAATATATTTCAATTTTTTTTCAAATATTAAAAAAAATCATTTTAATTTTTTTATTATTAAAAAAAATTATATAAATTTTTCTTTAATTTTCAAAATAATTTATTCTGTCAATTGATTTATGCATTGTCTCCGACTTTAAAGTTTAAGCAAGTGTGCAAAACTTCAGATCGATTGGACAGGTAGAAGTAAGTTAAATATCAATTATAAGATTTGCAGCAGACAAACAAATGACAAGAAGTGAAGTTAAAGAGAAGTGTTGTAAAAAAGTTGGATCAACTTCTCAACAAGAAGAAGAAATTCCCTAAACACATAAATACCAATATATAATTGATCAAATTTTTCAAAACCAATTTGTTATTGCATAGTAAACACTAAAAGAAACTGGCTAAAAATGGGTTCAAATTGTTAAAATAAGGCCAACTCTTTTTTGGTAAATTCAGCAGGAGTATATATAGACTTAGTTGCAGGCTGAAATTCTAGGAATTGTTGGTTATTAATTCACTGTTGAGCCAGCTATGTCACTTTCTCAGTCTGAAAATTTCAACTAATTTATGGAGTGATGGTCTTGTTAAATCTTTTTCAAATCATTACAATATGAGGTGTCAATATATTATAACCTATTCTTGAATGTCACCTTTAAAATCCCGATCATGTATGGTACTTCAATACCATCTATAAATATAGATATAAATGACGTTTTAACAAGTATGACATCCATGGAAGAATTTGTGGAAATATGTCAGAGTACAAGCCATGGCAAGAGCTCTCCTGCCATTTTTAGAGCAGCACTCATGATTTTCATTGGATGAATTACGTATATATACTATAATACTATATAATTGCTACATAAAGATAATAGAGCTGCATGATTTGATTGATCTGCAAGACTGCTAAATTACTTAAAGCCTATTTTTTAAGACAAAAAATTAAAGTTTTACTCATCCAACTATGCAAATCATAATGTACTGAAAATTTCAATGTTAGAAAAATTGTGAAGCATTACTGCATTAGGAGCTTGCAAAATTAAAATACAAGAATTTAGAGCAGGAAAGCCTGTTAAACAGTAATGGAAATATTCTAGGTACTAGGTTTCACATAGGCAGATTACAATCAATGCATTCATATTTTCTAACTAAGCTTATTTTCAATTTACTGCTTTCATCATTGATATCACAAGATTTATAGGATACCCATTAATTTCAAGACAGGAGAGCATCAAATTAGATAGCCTTTCTAGTAATTCACTCACAAAATCTTAAGAAATATTAGGAATATTTAACTAGGCCCAAGGGCCAAGACTGAAAACAAAAACTTTTTGGTATAGGTATACCTATAATAATATTAGGTACATACAGAGTACAGTTCAAAAAGGCAAATATTTTTAGTAAATTTGAAATCTGGAAACCTAATTATGCAGAAATTTCCAAATAAATAGTAGATAATTCATCTAACCTCGTAACAGTAAAATGGCGTATAGGCTTCGATCGTGGCCACAAAAGTATATTCTTTCCGCACCTGCCCGAGGCTGAGCCATGAGTATAGTGGCCGTGATGTTACGTCGTCTTCGATCGGACAAGACAGGTTAAAAATGCATAGCTTCCTATTGGTAACTCGTCAGAAAAACTTCCAATTCAAACTTTATAAAGAAATATAATATCGTGCGAATTGTATGCACAAATAAATCAGTATTATAAATTTGTCTCGTTCCTAACCAAAAACAAGGCTTTTATAAAACGTTACCTTCCCTCGTCGTCGCGCCGCAACCATGAAAAAAAGCAGTTTTTTAACGAGAATTTCAGTCCATAATAATTCGGTAATGATTGCTGGATTTATACAAAATTAAAGTACTTCATGTTGGAAACTTTTAATGAGAAATGAAACTGTCAATAGAGGTGTTGAGAAAGAGCAACATCGGATTTGGTACCGCCCTCTACACGGCTTAAAGCTGCATAGAAAGCAAAAGATAAATTTGAGTTTAAAATATTGTAGTAGAGTAACTTACCTACGTCACTGAACCTTGAAACTGAAAAGATTCCACTTTCTTGCTAACAGCTACGCAAAACCCATAGTGATGAACAGTTATTAACAAATGAAGTAATGAGCAGGCACATCTTACGGAGCACTAACACACAAACACCTTCTAACACTGCTTCGGCGCGACTGAAGTTCTGAACGTAGAACGCTGAGCAGTCAGCACTCAGCAGCAGAGCCGGACATGCCTCAAATTTTGCGAGTGCTGACATATTTCGCTAGGAGGTTCCTATTAGTATTCAATTGGCATTCAAATACAGCTACCTTGTGCATGAAAGCGGGACTTCAAGGCTCTGAATCATGAATTGCTTACACTCTTCTCTTTCACTGCACAGCAATTTTTTATTTTCTGTAACCACATTATCGTCCATTTTTGTAATAAAATTAAAGCGTTTTTAAAGAAGTTTCGAGAAGAACAAGCTTCATTATGAGAATCTTTTGGGGTTAAGTCATCCAAAAATATCGCGCAAAGCATTATTGACTATTACTATAAACGTAAAATTCTGTGATGATTGCATTAATCGACCACTGCCTGAATTTTATTTGGGACGTAACTTAGCACATTGTAACCTCACAGGAAACATGAAGATGGCGAGGTGAGAAGTCGCAAGAATTTCTTTGAAGAATAGCCCTGATTGTGATGTTCATTTTTTTATCAAGTATGTATTTTGGGTTAAAGATTTACGACAGCATGTCAGTCCGAAAAATTTCTTGATAAATCGGTAATGGTTTAAACGTAGAAATATAATGTAAAATTTTCCTTGAAAACGGCACACGCAATTATTGAGTGTCTTCCGAACAGAGTCCCTGCCCACCGCCCGGTAACCATGGTTGAACTAGTATATGGTTGGCCCATGGTTGAGTTATACAAGGTTGACCCACGAGAATTTCCCTCTTTCAGTTCAACCATGAGAGTGACCCATGAGAAGCTAATTTTTGCGCTATATTTTGTTGACCCACTAGAAGCTCCATCTTTCAGTTCAGCTTTCTTGTTACGTCACGTAGATCGAGAAACGTAAACAAAGCCGTCATTCCCATGACGGATTGGTAGACTGGTTTGATCGCATTTCGGTGATTGGTTAATGCCCGTGACGTCACAGGCGAACAACGAGCTACATCCGCAAAAATGGGCTTCTGATGGGTCAACCTTAAACTAGTTCAACCATGATTTTTTCGGATGTAGTTTGTTGTTCGCTTGTGACGTCACTGATCTCAGTGATGTCACGGGCATCAACCAATCACTGAAACGCGATCAAACCAGTCAACCAATATGTCACGAGAATGACGGGTTTGCTTACGTTTCTCGATCTCAGTGGCGTAACAAGAGAGCTGGACTGAAAGCCGGAAATCCTCGTGGGTCAACCTTATACAGTTCAACCATGCCGGGAACCAACCAAACGCGTAACTTTGATTGAAAGGGAAATCGAACTAAATGTCAGCGACTTATTATTTATTTTTTGCCTTACAGCGCAGCTTGTATGCTCATGTCATCTGTTTGCTTTAATTACAATGAAAACAAGATAATGAAATCCAATAACACGCTACCGTCAAAGCCACATCATTTGCCACTCGGCAAAAACAGCACATGCGTTGACTCACGTCACCCGAAGTTAAAACCATTGTTTTAACTTCGGGTTTAACTTGTTCAACTTCGGGTTGTTAACTTCGGGTTTAACTTGTTTAACTTCGGGTTGTTAACTTCGGTTTAACTTGTTTTTAACTGGACAGAACTAAGATTTTGAGGGGTTTGATACCAACACGATGACTACAAAGTTTTGATCGCGTTAGAAATATGTGGTTTAGTTTTTTTATAAAATATATCGTTTCAGTTGACGGCCGGCGACTTTAGAGCTACTGGCGAGGTTATCAGTATTGACGAGAAGTTAATTCACCATGTATCTTCACTTCTTCACCGAAAAGTAAGTTTTTCTATTATCGATAACTTCACCAAGTTGTTAGCAACTACGACAGTTCATCATATCAGCCAGCATGGAATTAAAAACTAACAAACTTTGATTAATTCACTAACGAAGCTAAAAATTATACCTCGCAATAACAACCAAATTGAATACAACACATTGCTTACGTACAAACATACCTTGAACAAACCCAGAAAGGAAAAGAACACGACAGTGAGAAGAGCTCAGTCTTATAGTCTGTTGGTATCTGTGATACGCAACTCGCGGTCGCACACGAACAACAATAAAAATAACATCTCGCAACTCACGGAACTCATTTCAAGTTTATTAAGTTGAATTTAAGAGTGATCATAAAGGCGGTCAGCGGCGGTAGTCGCCTATAGTGTTTCTTAACTATGAATTCGATCAATAGCTCCCCTTTCCTAAATAAGATACAAGCCTGAAATTTGGAATGCTATTCTGGCTAATTACTTCAAATTAACGGACATTAACTTGATTAAGATAAATCGATGTCCCAACCGTCTCACTATCAATTAATAATTCAAGATATAATACAATCAATGTAAATTGTAAAAGCCGCGTATTAAAAGTATGCTTAAATTGAACGTTCACCAAGAATTTAAAAGCAAAGAAACCCTGAGTAACCTCACCATTTCTTCGATGAAAACTTGAGTTTCACTCTGTTTCAGCTAAGATTTGGCGAATATATTGGGTGTTATCTTAGCTCTCAAATCCTCGCACAAGCCATAATTACCTAAAATGTTATCAAAATAACAAAATACTGGACCAGGTAATCGTCAAATAGCAAACAGAATAGAAATTTGAGCATCGGTTTGCGTCGCGTTTCAACAAACAGGTTATCATAAAGAAATGAAATAACGGGAACTTTGTGACGAGTTGAAACTAGGATTTTCTAAGGAACTAAAAATACAATTTATGTGTGACATGAAACCGACATATTCATATGAGTAACGAATTAAGCATCCCCAGTTCTTATCTAAGTAAAAAAAACACTTCATCCATAATAATATTCTTGATACATAAGCAGGACTAATACGTAAAGACGTCTGGATTGAATTATTTAAGCTAATGAAAATGCACTTACAATAAATTCAAATCCAACACAACAAGAACTATTCGAAATCCAAAATATCCTACCTAGTATCGTTAGGATAACTTTTTTTTACTATAACTGTTATCTTAGTGATAAAATGATAATTTAGTAGTCAAAATATGCACGCTAAAATAAGCTCAGTTGTGACGCAAACAGGACATGTAATCTATGACAAGATACTGAAACTCAAACAATATTACAACCAATCGTCCTCTCAATAACTGCAGATCTAGAAATAAATTTTAAAAATATTAGTGATGAGTGTGCGTGAGTCTATAATAACAACCACTGGGAACGTTTCCCATGAAGTCTATCAATATAGCTATTGTTTGTATAGCTATATATTATAAACAATACACCATCACAATTTCTAAGAAATTCTTTCAAAAAAATTCAGTCAATAATACAAAACATCTCAGAATTATTGCAGTACCAAGTGTTGGACATATTTTTTCAGTAGATGCACATTGATCAAACTAGTATCAATTGTAATTACTTTTGAGAGAACAAAGGAAAATCTATTGATTCAATGTTAACGATTGATGGAAATTTTCTTGAAAAATCAAGCGAAAAAATTGATAAGCATTTGAGTATTGATTGCTTCAGCAATTACAGTTATAATAGCGACCGAAAAATAATATTGTCACGAAATATGCTCAGTATTATCACAGCAAAATACGCTAAAACAGTTCATAGACAAATATAACAACGTCTGTAGGCTTGCAGAGCAACTACAACCAATTAAAATCTAGTCTTCTTAATTTTAATTACTACACAGATTAGGTACAGAACAACGATCAAAGAAAATAAGTCCAAATCGTATCAATTTGTTCGATCGTAGAATGAGATTCCATTAACGCTTATAGTTATAATACATGGTTGTGAATAAACAATATACAACGTAACAAAATAAATGAAAACAAGATTTCAATGATTACATTTGTTGATAAAAAAATGTACTGCATGAATAGCCTGAATGACCAACTTAAGAAAGCCAACCCTTAATTAATTATGCAAAAATTATTACGATTGAGAAGAATCAGACCAGCGGCTCCAATCTGTGGAAGTCTCGGGTTGAATCAGCCAGGAAGTAAATCAAATTCCAACGGGCCCCGACACGTAGCGACCTGAGTACAGTACACGTGGCGGCCTAAGTACACGTGACGGTCTTTGTACATACCCGTTCGTCGTCTGTGATTGGTAAGATTAGCTTGTTAAACCGTCGGTGCTTGGCTAACGGCGTTACGAACTCGTAACTATTTTTGATAGTACGATCCCTAGTAGCAACCTCTACTCGGCGCCTACCCACCCTCCTTATTTCAAAGCATCAAAAATAAATCCTAACAAGACAAAATTCAAGCATTGGAACAAGCATCAAGAAAACAGCGTTAAAAAATCAACAACTAAACGAGATCACAACTATCAAGTTCTGGGCTAAGAACTTTTGCTCCTGGCCACTTTGCCTCGAAATAAAAGTTAATGCATATGTAACTGACAACAAATTATGTTTGAGTATAGTCCGTGAATTCATCATCCATTATTAATGAAAGATGAATTGCTAAAAGTCGAAAGATATCTTCAGCAGTAAGATTTGGTTGTATCATTTTGGATTATTGATCCCCAAAATCTTTGATCTTGTAACCAAAATCAGCATTATTCAACTGACCTCTTTTCAAAGGTTTGGACAGCAGTGTTACAAATTAGTTGCACTGACACACTTTTGGTATACATGAATCACACTGACACTTGTAGTACGAACCCTTCCCAAAAAAGTTTTGTTACTATCTAGAGATGAAAATTTATAACAGTTCGAGAACAACTGATCCAAATAAGTAAACGCGGTCTTATGAGCATCGATTTTTAATAAAACTCTCATGTCTAGAGCAAATCTCCATAACAATTCGTTCCTCAATCTCCAGTCCAGCAGATCTGTTGTCATCACTCAGCTGCAGAATATGAGTTTCTACGGAAAATTCATCAGTGGTTGAAGTCGATAATGACTTTTCCCCAGATGCTGAATGAATTTTATTGCAGAGAGATGAAGGCTCCACGAGCGTCACTTGTTCTCTGCGCGTCTGGAGGAGGTTGCCCACCACAAGATGATGGCCGTATCTATGGATAAAACATAGGTTTAGAAAAAATATTACTCAGTACTCACTGTAGTGAGTGACAGAGAGCGCATTTTCCCGTTGGCGAAAATGTGAAGACACGGACAGACAGACGGACGGACACGACGAGCACAATAGTGCATTTTTCCGTAAATGAGAAAATGCGCTAAAAAGGAAAAATGATAATCAATATTTACACGCCCGGCAATAAGTTGAGGGAAACATCAAAGCCTCGAAATCAAGATTCATCATCTAATAAAACACTTGAGGCTGAAATCTCAAAAGGCAACGCTGAACTAGACGAATATTGTTTGTTGCGCCGCGGATGCGATATCTCACAGTGTAGACGTATATTAGACATTATGGTGGGGCAGGAAAAGACGTTGCAGAATTGTGTTTTACGAGCTTCCGCATTGGTTAATGTGAGACAAAATTAAACAATTATTACAATTGATTAAAAAAAGATGACAACTAACCTTTTGAAAAATATTCACTAATGGGATCTCGGATTCTCATTTACGGACCTAAGTTACTTCATTCAGTCGTGAGCTTGAAAAAAACTGTTCATTATCAAAATGATACAAAAATTGTTCATCCCATTCTGAAAGTGATCTTGTTCTCACTTGTGCAGCGCAGCCTTGGCCTTGGTTAGGAGTTTAGTGACATCGGTCTCGAGCTTGAAGGATACCACGTAGAGACTCGGCGACCAAACGTTCATCATCGGCAGGAGCATCTTAGGCACCAGCTCGAGCTCGATGGACAGCGGACCTGTGCACGACTCCAGCTTATGCTCGGACAGCTTCTCTGCACGGCGAGGATGTTACTAGTAACAAATTATATTATCGTCATTTGTTGTAGTAACTACAAAAAATGATACCTACCGTTACAGCCCTGTCCGCGACTGTACTCGGACAACTTCTCTGAACATCATGCATGACATTAACAACAAATAATAATAGAGGTATTTGTTATTTTAAATACAAGAAATAATGTTTCAATTACTGCTCAGTGCACAACTTCAGCTTGGGCACATTATAAACACAACCTAAGACGATAAGGTAAATGGAACAATTTATGGAACCTCAAGGTATGGTACGTGTGTGACTTAGCCTCAGGGATGTGGTAGTGTGGTATGAAGGTATGTCAGGGATGTAGTAATGAGGTAAGATATGCAAGACCTACCCTCAGGGATGTAGTAATGACGTAAGATACGGCAGACTTACCCTCAGGGATGTAGTAGTCGGCCACAGCAGCCGCCAGGTAGAGGGCGGCAGGCGCGTGTCGCGTCTCCTGCTCCAGACACTCACACACCGCCTGCCACGCAGCAAGTTAGGTGAGGATTTTAATGTTCAATGTCTCCAGTTTTGAATCAAGTTTTGTAAGCGTTTTAGGACATAAAGTCTCCAGGATTAATTCAAGTTTAACACGCTTTGAAAGCTACTAAGTCCATAGTAGCAAATGTAAGTAAATTTGAAGCAGTATGAACTTGGCATCAACTGAACACTTCATTCTATTTACATTGTTTATCTTAAGAGAAATAAGTAAATTTTCTATAAATAACCTGAGTAGAAAATGATTGTTTCAGTGCATAATATTAACATTAAAATTCGAGTGGATAAATTCTGTTACATTGTGAAATCTTTCACAATCGCACTCAAGAAATCTAAAAAGACAGTTTGTGAGAGGCATCATTCTGTCATATCATATACCTTATCAAGCCATATCATTGCTGTATCATATAAAAACCATTTCATGTCATATCATCACAATGCCATATCTTCACACTCACCCTGAGGTACCAGAGGTATGACGTTAAAGAAGAGAATGGGATCGCCAGCAACATGTCACCAAGCACAGCTTTTCTGTAGCACCTTACAAGTGGTCGCAACTGGAGGTAGCAAGCAATTAGGCTGCTGGCAACATAATGAAAAACTTGTATAAATATCAATATGATCATATGTTATATGATAATCAGTAAGTGTGAACAAAATGCATGTGAACTGACAAACACAGAAGGTTTGTACATCTAAGTCCAGCAATCAATCGTCAATCAATCAATCAATCAATCAATCAATCAATCATCAAAATCAATAAGTCCAGCAGCTATCTCAATCAATCGTCAGTTATGGAAAGATCGGGTTCCAAAGGCCGGATCCCTTGTGAATCAAGTCACGAAAAGTTCAAGAATTGGCAACAGGCCATGGGCCTATGTCTTCAACGCCGACACTTCTATTCTATTCTTATTCTATTCTATTCTAAAGGAATGGAAAATAAAATTATCGATACGGATTATAATCCATACTAAAGCTAATATCAAATACATGAAGAATCACGATAAAAGTAAATATTAGATGAACCAGATGACTGATTTTAACTTTTTCTTACTTGATCTACCAAGCTAAATAAATATAGACTAATGTAGTAATATTGTACCTATATACCAGGTATTGAAGCCATGCTTGTTCTAATTTTTTAATAGTAATGATCATTTCTTCAATAACTTTTTCCGATTGGTTAAAATAAAAAATGATGACAAATATTTAGGCATATTTGATTGCTATAAATATTAAAATCATTTAATTGATGTAAATATTAAAATATCAGGAATCCCTGTCAGCAACCTACTGCCTTTGAAGTTGCACTGTCAAACTCCAGCCTGAGGTTCTCTGTTTCATTGCTGAGGGCATTGGGCGACAACACTCTGAAGAAGTCTTCTTGTTCATCAGTTCCTTCTGTGGTCGCTGGTGAAGAGCAAGCAACATCACATGACAACTCAAGCACAGGGGTCGGAACTTTTCCAGGGGATTTGCTGTTCTGTTTCATAACTTCATCTGGAATTGAAACCATACAATGATTTCAATAGCATTCTAAGCAAACGGTATTTCAAAGGCAAAAGTAAGGTTGCAGGAAACTGATGGGAAATGGTTAGGTGCAAGTTTGAGGAAGCAGACATTTTGCCACCATTACTTTCCATGAAACTGCTAATCCAGATATTTCATTGATGTTTCATGAGGTCAATATTTGATTAACTAGGCTCTCAACTGACATTTATTTAGCCTTCTATTGAATTCCACACTAATTTAGCAGTAGTAATTAAATGAAAGCTTTAGCCTTCTGGAAATATTTAGTCTCCTTAGTGATATATATATCTTAGCAAATGCCATTTGATCATAAGTGAGTAAAACTCCATAATCACTTTCATGCCCCAAATCTTTATCCAATGCTTTGGACGAGCTGGAGACCCCAGCAAGAGCATCCAGGACTCTGGCAGGATGAAGATGTCGAGCAAAAGGCAGCACTGACGCCTCTCGATGAACAAACACCACGGCATATCCTAGCTGCAGGAACTGCTCGCAGGATGCCGCTCCACGGGTGCCAACGCTGAAGTTGTCCAAGAATCTGGCAACATTAAAACTTATAATATTAAATCCTTATAAGTACATAAATCTTCATTATTGGAAGCTTTCTTGTGAATGTTATTGACAACTTAATGTGACAGAGGGTGTTTGTTGCAGCAGGGGCTAAACAATGGTTGGATTGATGGTTGCCACCACCGATACAACCATCCTAAATCACCACTTTGCATTATGTACTGTATTTTAATTTTTGTTTATCAAGTACATTAATTAACACTCATAGCAATGAAAGCAGGAAAAATAGTTAGATACAAGGGAACAAGTTATGTGCACAGTGGTCCACTCAACTTTAAACACTTTGGGTGATGACTTGCCAGTTATTACCCAGAGGCTACACATATGCAATTGAAAAATATAAAATATATGAATCAAAGGAGTGCACTTTTAGGATTTTGCAATAATCCCACTTCCTTTCAAGGCACATGAAATGAGGTTTTCCACAACACCATCATTAAGGCAATTAGCATCTATAAGCCTGGAAGCAAGAGTTAGATTAGTGTCATTAAATAAATGGTTACCTCTTCGTTGATGGATACATTTACATTAGGCTATTTTACTAGTATTCAGGAACCTGCTTACTAGGGTTAGCATAAATAGACAAAAAGAATAATATTCCCTGTTCAATTTGCAATGTTGCTTCAGTAAACTAAGGTTTACTTTGTACCATCATCCAATTGCTCTCTACTGCTGCATTCTCACCTGACAGTGTTACGTTCTAAAGGAACGGTGGTGCCTCCTGACGTTACAAGTGCCACTTTGTGTTTGTGGGCGGCATGATATTGGCACCAGCGTCGCAGTCTCTCACACACATTGTCAAATTCAAGAGGTGGAAAGGTTTGCTTGTAGAAGATTTCCCAGTCACTGGCCATGGTGAGCAACAATGTGGTTATGTGCTTCCCTCTTCAGGTAATGTTTTCTTTGGATACTTGTTAATAACTCAAGTTTTTAATAGTGGAATTAGTAAAACTTTGTGAATGAGTAGAACTTTGTTCAGCAAACTTTTAAAAATATATTTATAAGTTCAAAGAGTTTCAACTTATGATTTATAAAAATTATATTAAATGATAGATACCTCATTGCTATTTTTTAACTCTGTCAAGGAATATATACCAAATAATACCATCAATTCAAACAGGGCAATAAGGGACAGGCGGGGTAAATCCAGATAACCGAAAAAACCCCCAATCTTTCTTAATATACAACATAAAACCACTACATACTGTGAAAAAAATACATACAATACATTAAATACTATTAACAAACACACAACAATCAAATTTAAATACAACAAAACACATACACTATCAAAATACGACGTGCCCGCGCACAATGCGCATGTAGTTGCTCCCATCATCCTTGAGTGGAATCAAGCTCCAGAAACGTTTAGTTTGGAATCTATGCTACATTGAGCGCATATTGTGGTGCCCGCGGGACTTAGTCGCGCTCTCCTCAACATTCACACTTATTGTCACGGAAAACCTATCTCCTCCTAGAGTTTTGAAGCTACGTCAATGAGACATATATCGTTCAATTTGCAAATGAAAGATCTACAAAATTGTGTATGGGTTTTTCTATGTTTGTTATAGTTTGGATTTTATGTTGCAAAAAGGAGGGGAAAGTGGAGGTAAAATCGAAGATTTCAAACAATTTTGGACAAAATGCTCCCACACTCACAAAAATGAGAAATTCAAAAAACCTATACACAATTTTGTAGATGTGGTCTTTACGCATCGAATGATATGTGTCTCGATGTTGTAGCTTGAAAATCCTAGGAGGAGATAGGTTTTCTAAAGTACCCTTTTTGGTCGCTATCTAAGAATTTCACGTTTTCTTTCAATTTTTTTGAAAAATTTACATGAATAAAACCTGTTTTATTTTAGGGTTTACACATGTGTACCAAATTTCAGATTGATCCCTCTGTAAATTACTGAGATAAATTTTAGGCAAGATGCTCCCCTTAAAAAAAATTAACAACAAAACATTTTTATTACATTTACAATTTACCTCACTCATCAAAATTAAAATTTCCCCTAATAAAAAAGTAATGCATCAGTCATCACATGATCACAAAATTGTGCATAGAATAGAATGTCTTCCTCAAGTTCATTTCTGAGTCCTACCTACATCCCAACTGTAGTGTATGCTAGCCAATAATATAAGAAGTAGGCTAGACCAGTCAACTGAGTCGAGTATCATGGATACCAGCATTATTATCATAATATCATACACAAGAAATTGGTTTAAATCTTGAGTTAGCCTAGTTGAGTATACTTGAGTAGATGAGAAAATTAAAATTTAACAGATTCTAAAAAATCTGTAGTTGGTCAATGGTCACTATACTGATTGCTTCCACGGTCCACCCTCAGAAGGCTCAGAGGCTCAGCCCTCAGGCTCAAGTTGCTCAACACTGAACAACCCAGAGTCCCAGACCCACAGAGTACACGTCACTGCCTTAGTCTGTACTCTTTAGGCTACTCTGTATTCTATGCAACTAAAATCCTGGGAGTCGGCAAGTTGCAGGGGATAGCCGCTTCATCATGTTTCTGATACGGTGATACTTTCATACCTTGCTAAATGAGGCTTGCTTATTCAGCAAGTCCCAGGCAACCATCATGAGCCATGCACTTGCTTGGGAAGTTGGGCTTCATACAACTAACTTAAGGCTTGTAGTCAAAATGCAGCGAAGTCTGAGAGGGAGGTTTTCGCAACCATCGTGTAAAATCCTTGATCTGCCCAAAGCTCGGCTCGGCCAGTCGCTACCCTCGAGCTTGTACTCTTTGTAATATGATATCCTAGCCAGACCCTTCTTCGCGGCAACTGGTCACTTTCAGGTGGCCGAGGAATGGCCAACGCCCAACGGTCAGCTATTACTAATTGGATAGGCCAACCACTGGCCTAGTATGGAATATATCTACTTGGCGAGCCGCGACTGAATTTTTTGAGCCGTGGTTTTATGGATTTGCCAGCCGTGATTCCATTTCTACGAGCCGTGATTCTATTTCACCGAGCCGTGAATTCCATATCTCGGCCATGAAAAGCCATTTACTAGGTGCGAATGCGAATTTATTTACAAAGTTTATGCACGAGTTACCCCAAATCTCTAATTTTACCCTTAAACAGTCAAACGGCAACAATAAAATTTGTCTCTACTGTAAGTTCAGCACGTGTTAATATACAGTCTGACCGCTTTGACATGACCGCAACTATGCGCGATCTTCAACAAACGTTTTGTTTATTTGTTTACATTACGATGTTTATGTTTTTTCTGTAAGATATTTTTGGCGGAAACGGTAAAGCAATGCGGATTGCGGAAGTTGAAAATTTTATGAAATGACATGTTTGCAAAGTGCAAACCACAATTTTTTAATCAAACAAAAATTTATGACATTCGAGCCGCGAGATTTCATACCTACTGAAATTATATGATATTAGAGCCGCGATATTTCAGACAAAAATAGGACTTTTCCAGACTAGCCACTGGCCACGTGGTTGGCCAGTGCCCCTCATTGACTTTGCCTTTACCATGCCACCCGTTGTGAACAGACAGTTGAGTAATTTCCGACGTCTCTTTCCCCTCAAACATTGCAAAACGTCTCCATTTGAGCAGCTAGTATGCGGGATTTTCCCTCCGCGCATCAGCAGACTCGATCATAAATATTTTTTAGTAGAAAATATCTATAACAAGGAAGCTGATCAAGGAATGCCGAATATACCATTAACCATTCAATTGACAATAAAAATTACAACCCGTGCGTTAATATCTCAAAAGTCGAAAAGCATAGTGGCAAAGTAGAGAGTTTTTTAGACTCTCCCTCAAGTTCATTTTTGAGTCCTAGGCTATAAGTATTAAGTAGACCAGTAAAGTATCCTGGACATAGTGGCAAAGCAGAGAGTTTTTTAGACTCTCCCTCAAGTTCATTTTTGAGTCCTATAAGTAGACCAATAAAGTATCCTGGATACCAGCATTAGCATACATAAGAAATTGGTTTAAATCTTCAGTAAATGAGGAAATTAAAAATGAACTGATTCTAAAAAAGCTCTGGTTTGCCACTATGATCCTGGATACCAGCATTATCATACTTAATAAATTGGTTTAAATCTTGAGTAAATGAGGAATAAAAATGAACTGATTCTAAAAAAGCTCTGGTTTGCCACTATGTCGAAAAAAGTGTAAAAGTCGCAGACATGATGAACAATAATATTCAAAGTTTCTTGAAATTTCCTCTCATTTAAACTCTTTTAATACAAAGTTTACATATTTTTTATTACTGGTCGACGCCTATAAATAAATAGCTGGGTCAGGGTAAGTATGGAAAAATCCATATCGCCATCTCATTTGCGAGTGGAGTAAAGTCTATCCTAATTAGGGAAGAAGAGCCGAGCCTGTTCGAAGCCTCTCGGTTTTCAATCAGGGCCTTAACAAGACATAACTGCTATTAACAGTTGCATCACTCTCTTTATTTTGCAGTTAACAGCCCCAACCATTTACAAAATTACCAGTTACCACCACACTCTTTGCAGTATATGAGCGATGAGCCTTAGACAACAAGCAATTCGGAACTCGGTCTACAGGATCGGCAGTAGTTTCGACTACATCGGTCACCGTAAGTCGTATTCCGGCTGAGCGGACGCGCACATCTTGAGTAGTTGTTGATCATCAACTTTGTTATGCCCGTGTAATATGATTTTAGTAATTTTTTCATAAATGACCCTATAATAGTTTTTCATTTACCTCACTCGTTGCGGTAACACGTCAATGCAGAAGACATGGAATAAAGGAAAAGGTAATAAAAACAAGATATCGCAATCTAAATTGCCATTTCGTGTGTATTTACAGTGATTAATTTCTTTCAACGTTGAACATTAAGCATAAGCGAACATCCAGTTGAGAAAAAAGCAAGAACGAGCATATAGTTGAGAAAACGAAAGAAAATAGTTAACCTATAGAATTTCACATTAATGAATTCTTTCATTTTTGTAAACCTCAATATTATAACGAGGGTCTGGATTGACTTCATAACGTCTTTTGTAGGGAATAGGAAAAGGTAAGGTTTATATCCAGGGATATTTTTTTCTAAAAAATGGCGAGCCTTCTTTTCGGAGCTGCAAAAATGAATCGTCATCAATGGTAGACAAATCTACTTTAAATTTCCCCAGTTAATAATTAATTAAAGGAATTCATAATAATTCGAAACAATCACACAACAAGAAGCTGATTATTACCGTTGATATTTCAAGTTTCCCATTTGAAAGTTATTTAAAAATTTAATACAATATATGCAGTGACCCGTCTTAGTTGCGATCAGATGCAAAATCATGCAATAAATATCACGGATTAAGAATTGGATCCCTTCAAGACGAGTAGTATTCCTTCAGTTGAGGATCCGTGGGCTTGAGTATCACCTTGTCGGCGAGGTTGACTATCCAGCCAGGCTCCAAGCCATAGAAGACCTGCCGAGGATCCTTCCGTTGAAAAAGAAGCTCCTTCATCAAACTCTTCTCCAAGTCTGGGAGAACGTAGCCGTATTTCTGGAAAGGAAACTTGGATGAGTGATGGAAAATGAATTGACATAATGCATCTCCCATCAAATAAAACTAAGTAATTCAGAGATATTCGCTTCCTTAATTTTTTCCACAGATAACAGATAATGTCACCGAAATAAATTGAGACAAAATGAAGATGATAAGCAGCGCGATTAGTGACAAACAAAATACAATAATAAAGCTACATAATTAAAGATTTTTTCACATGTAAGAAAATGAGGCGACAAACAATATTTTCAAAAGTACAACACATGGCATTTGTTGCAGGGCTCACAGTTATGACTTAAAGGGGTCGTGCTATCAAAACTTGCTCAGTAGACGAAGCGTCCAATTTCAAATTTGAGATTTGTAAGTTGAGCTGAAGAAATCTTTAATGATTGGCTGATGAAGTTAAAAAAACATAACTGCTTTTGATAGCACGGCCACTGCTGGATAAAGCAAGCATGCGTCGCGGGAACACCAACTATCGCCACAAGGGTCTTGGCAAATAACGCGCGGCGAACCAGATCATTTAGATACACCCACTAATCCTCAAACATTTTCGTTTCTACTTGGTCGACTCCGTTTCCATTCCGGGACCTAGTTCGAACCTCCCCTGCTTTCCATTCTATTCTGCCCCATTCTCTATTTTTTGACAATCATCTTGTATTTGCCACCGAAGCTACCAATGTAGGGCTGCTACAAACAAAAAACATGGCAGCCCTACCGGGCTCAACAGGAGAATCTGTTCCTCAATAAGAGTCAGGGGTTACGAGGTATTCCCAGTTGTGCAGCATACCTGGCTCAACAAGAGACGCTGTTCCTCAATAAGGGCAGGATCTGCAAGGTATCCCCTGTTGCGCGGATCACTGTAGTATTCTATGTGGCGTTGCGGCGGCAAGAACCGACGCGGGATCACTTGGCCTGCACAACAGAAGTCAGTAATTAACAAATGCTGAATATGCTGCAACATGCATGCGAATGGAATTAATTCCATTTAATTTGCAAGTGGGAGCGGCTGAACATGTAGTTAACTAAGTTAAGATGAATGAATATTGAAAAAGGATATCATTGAAATAATCACAAGTGTGAATGAAATTCTGAACAATTGTATTTTTAGGATCAAATTTTGGCTAAATGGTGGCAAACCTCTTTGAGAAATGATGCTTGTATTTTATTCAATTCATGACTTCTGACCAGAAATAGTTGTAATTTAAGTTATTGGGGTAATCTGCAAAACCTTTCTTGAAGAACTCGACAGGCTTGAGAGCAGCAGTGAGACTGTAGGGATCATAATAGGCTGTGGTGATGGTGCCACCAGCCTTTTCTACAGCTGCAATAGCAGCCTCACTTGCATACTGAACCTCAAGATTCATGGGGGTACAGAAGCAGTCCATGCCCTGAAATATAATTAATTTCAAGAAGAAATCTGCGACAACAACCTAGCACTTGCTGTCAGCTTTTGGGACAAGATAATGAATAGTCAATATAAATTAATATAAACAAATATAGAATATAACATGAATGTGTATGGCACAAAAAAAAACTAAAATATGACCTCAGTCATTGACCTGCAACCACAATCATTCATAATTTAAGCTACTAATCAGCAAGACAGGGGAGCAACTTCAGAAATTTTTAAATCCAATTTAAATGACATAAAATAAGAGGACTACCAGCAATTCTTAGCCAAATAGTCTCAACTTCCTAGTTTTAGAGTAATTATTTTCAGCTTAACAAAAAAAAAAACATACTACAAAAAAAAGACAGACAACCATATCAAAATTAAGTTCAGCACACCAACTTTCTCTTCCAGCATAACACCACCATGCTCCAGTCTTGAATCAATGCGCAAAAGTCCGGTGTTGTAGAGTTGAGTTACATCAATGGGCACACTAACATCAAGACGTCCTGTGTCAACCATGAGCTGCAGTGACTGCAGAGTCAGCGGAACATAAGAGATATCATACCTGGAATAAGTGATTACAGTGTTAGCAAATTCACATATGTATATAGTATATATAGTATATTATATATATATAGTAGTAGGTATAGTATATAGTATAGTAGTAATGTCTTTTGGTAACCTACTGTTTGATCTCCCGGCGCCAGCTAGAAACTTAGTTCGAGTCATTGAAAAGACGAATAAGAAGATTATTAATAAGAAGCATGCTCTGGTCTTCAATCAAACTTGCATAAAAGAAAAGCTTCTGCCTAACTATACCGATATATATATATATATATATATATAGTATGCATCTCGTTATACTGGTTTCATATGTAAATAAAACAAGACTAAAACCTGCACTAGGAGTCAATTTATGTAAAAAGTTAAATTCAAATTCATATACCAGGTAGCAGAATCTCACAGATATAGAACACTTAAAATGCTTCTTATAACCTAAAAACAGCACAATCAACCTTATAATAAGCAATATTATGAAATAAATAGAACACATGTAAAGCAAAAAATTTAGAAGTAATTGTTACCTTTCCTTAGCCCATTTCTGGACTGGATACCTCAAGAAGTAAGGTGTCATCTCCCCTCCCTCATAACCAGCAGGAACATGGCGGTTGTGATGTTTGGGGCCTTTGGTTCCCCAGCCATGGTCTTTGCCCCCATGAATGCCTCGGCCTCGTTGAGACTAAAGGATATATAATATTCATAAAACTATGAGTGTGAGGCTATTAAGATTTGAACATAAAATTTTAAAATAACAGGAAAAATTAGATAAGTACTTGCTATGCTAAGAATTTCTCTGCTATTTCAAGCTACAAGAAATTCAGTTATCATATCAATAAAAATATCAAAACTCACCATTCACTTTATAGATCATTTCATAGTAAAGTTCAGTAAACAGGAAAATTGAGGGAAGGTTCTTAGTCTATTACAAATCAAATTCAACTTAATTTAAAGTTCCACATTAGAGTACGGTACATGAATAAAAAAGTTTCCTGAGGGAGAGTTATTATCTATATTGCAATCTCTTTATCATTAATATGCAGGTTATTAATACGTTATTTCTAAACATGATGATTCAAACGATATTTGAAGTTTTAGATCATTAATACTATACAAATCATAAACAGTTGCCTCCAGTTATCATTTGCATAAAAATGTCCAGGCAAGAAGAGCTAAGCTTATTAGTGCCATAAAATACTTACTTTTTTGGTTGAACCAGGAATTGATATTAGGTTGTTCAACTTAATCCTTGGTAATCTCCTAAGCATTTGCAAAGCTTTAACAGTGCCATGTGAGGATGACATATTGCCAACGGATATTCAAAATTACCACAAATAAGATAATTTGAAATAACAAACTAGTACCCACTTTCTTACTACTTGTATCAATGAAGTAATCCACAAGGAAAAGCCTGCAAAAAAATCTTCAATCACAATATTTGAAACTATGCCTGTATTAATTTTCCTTACACTTTTTTAGGTTTCCTTTTACAGCTCAGAGAGAAAATGTGCTTACAAGTGGTATATATAAATCTGAGGATTATTGTATGTAATATTTGTATTTTTGATGCGTGAAATTATTTGATATAAGGTGAATACTGTTTCAACACCCAATTGAATAAAAAAATGTAATTCAGGACTCACTGCAGTGAGTGACAGAGAGCGCATTTTCTCATTGATGAAAATGTGAAGTCACGGACAGACAGACAGACTTACAGATGGAAATGGCAAGCACAATAGTGCATTTTTTCCATAAATGAGAAAATGTGCTAAAAAGATAGACAGGTAGTTAAGGGGAGAGTTTTGATCATAAATAAAAAATTTTTGTCTTTGTTTCATAAGCTCATTTTGTAGCTGGTGCATCTAATGCAGCAAACTGCATGTATGTGCATGCTGTAATTTTTACTTAAAGCAATTTCAAAAATGTAAAAATAAGAAAATTTTTAACAATATTTGCAAAGATTTCTATTCATTCATGAATAGAATCCTGTAAGCTTACAGATACAGAAAAAATGCTATAAGGCTGCTGATATGAAGCTTTCAGTGGACAAGGTTGTTGTAAATGCTCAATGGCATGTTCATGAATATGGTAATATTGCATCAATAATATGGTACCGTAATCAATGTATATGGTAATATCATATCAATAAAGGAAAAACAAGTAAAAATCACAGAAAATGTCATTTATTCTACCTGAAGTCCTCCTCAATGAAAGAGGAGGACTTCAGAGTACTGTTAGTAATGGATGAGTACAGTCTGCATGCTTCAAATATTTTATAATGAAGTTTTATTGCACATGTCCTGAGTAGCCCCGTTCGATGGGGCTACTCAGGACACTTTTTTTTTTTTTGCTTCTGGCACCTTACAAATAGCATATAGAATTTTTTGAAGATGCCATTCGATAGCCCTTGCAAAGAGCTATAAAATGAGCTTAAACTTGTTTATGAAATGTTTCATAGTAAGAAGTTATTAACAAAAAATGCTCAAAACCGTCCCGAGTAGCCCCGGTTGATGGTATATACCATGGATGTACATGCAATAATTTTTGCATAAGGCAGTTTTGAACTTTTATAAAATGACAATTTTTTATAACACAGGTGCATACTGGTATTCAGAAAAAAATTCAATGACTTTTCCATTACCTGGTTCTAGTAATCTTTGAATGTTAACTGGAAAGAGAGTATTCAGACAAGCAGAACCAATCTTTGCCAGAGCATTTACAAGTTGTGTATCAAACCTACACATCCACGTGTATAGTTATTTGATCTCACAATTTTATTATGAATCTTTATCCCATCATTCCGTGTGGATTCGAGAACTTTGTTGGTATCGGTGAAATCGTGAGAATTTTCTGCAAAAGTTTACGTAATTTTTATTTTTATTTTGGAACATATTCATTACAAAAATTTGTCGATACGGATACACGACTAGTGTATGATTTGGAGGGAAGAGCCGTCGACTTTTTATCGGTTTTCAAACCACACGCAAGCGAGTTAGAGTTAGACTAGAGGAAGTGTAGCTGTCCGGGTGTCTGCCATTTCTGACGAGCTCAGTGTAAGAGTATCAATTGTCACTTCGGTGGAAGGTGTAAGGTGGTAAATCTTTCGATACATTTTGTTTTGTAAACATGATAATATATTACATATACAGAATTCCATACTGCTGATAGGATCATGATCTCATGCTATCCAGGTTGTGACTGGTTATGGGATCATGAGATCATGTTATCCCATGGTTTGGAAGGTGCAGCATGTATGCCGGAGGTTCGTTTTGGGATGTACACCAGTACGCCAGGGAAGAAAGTTGCCAATATGCTTGCTAAAAACGGAAGTGTAACCCTCGCCAATGCTGCATGATCGACACAGGCACACGTACTTTACGATTGATGCCTTGCGATCGTCACAAGCACACGTGCTTTACGATCTATATAGCCAATGCCCAATGATCAATACTGATGCGCGCTCTTTGCGATCAAAGTGGAAGATGCCTAATGATCGACACAAGCACATGCAATTCACGATTGGTTTAGCCGATGCCCAATGATCAACACAGAAGTGCACTCTCTGCAATCAAAGTGGCCGATGCCTAATGATCGACACAAGCACACGCGATTCACGATCGTTTTAGCCAATAACCAATGATCAATACTGATGCGCGCTCTTTTTACTGCGCGCTTTTTTTACTGATGTTATGATGTGTTATGTTATGTTGTTATACTGTGCCATGTTATGATGTGTTATGTTACGTTGTTATACTGTGCAATGTTATAATGTGTTATGTTGTT